AGCGTTCAGCAGCTCCACGCTCCACACTCCATTCCACTAATAGGTTCGGCTACACAAATTGATTACAATCGGTGGTTTGATCGTATTTTCGCAGCCGTGATCAAAAAGTGTGCATTGGTTTGTGCTTTCAGGTCTATCTCTTCCACTCGATTCATGAAATAGGCATAAACACGCACATTAAACTACTTTGATTATTATGGTGGCCAAAAACGCATCGACGAATCACAAGTTTTGCATAGCGTTGCGACGCCCCGGACGTTCGTCATATCGTGTCGTGCCATTCGGCCGTTTCATGTGAAAAATATGTAACTAACGTTTTCGACATGGCATTACGGATGGATATTGACTTGCGATGGCAGGCGCTGGATATTTATGGGCAATTCACGGGGCACCCAATATTAGTTTGATAACCGCGTCGCTCGTATATCAAACTAATGTTCCATTATTGCAGCGTCTGCAAAAAGACGAACGCCCTTACGACCTTCACACACAATCGTGCATTAACATTAAATTCGCTACTGGCGTTCGCCGGCTGCGAGCAGGCCGTGTCTGCGTCGCGCCGCTTTTTTGATGTGTGCATGATATGTGCGTATCGACCCCCTCCTGAAAATTATCATCTCAAATGTCTACAGTTGTTATTTATGGCGCATTACGGGCTTCCAGACCAATCCGATTAGATTGCATAAAATTCCAATTTCAACGATTTAGAACCGTGAAACAATAAAAATTAGTTTCGAGGGGGCGTAAATCAAAGTTAGATTTTTCAAAATTACTCTCTTTGGTATGTAGTACCAAATTGTTTGAGGTTATGCGTAAAGCAACATGTAAGAAGACGACGAAAGCACCACTTATGAGGTTATGATATTCAGGTGGAATGAACTAACCAACTTTATACAACTACATATTACGACAAGGTATTCAAGACACTATCGCTTTTTTCGCCTGATGTGTTGTGCTAACAGTTTCAGCATAGAAACATAAGAACTGGAAAATAAGAAAAAAGAAAGAAAACAGAAAACGTTTTTCTGTCGTCTGCCGAATGAGGGAGAAAGTGTTCGCTGACATAGAAGGTCTCCAGTCTTTCCAAGGATCGTGATTTCTTCCTTAATGGTGCATAAAAATGCTACGGCGTTTTTACTGTTTCCACATAGGCTCTTTCCTCGCTCCTACTCACTACCTCTTGACTGCGGAGCGGAAAACGTACTATAAGCACGAAACTTAGCTAAACCTAAACCTTAAACGCACACACATTTACGATTACATTATTATATGGTGCCTCAAATTAGTGTTTGTTTTTGGAAATGGAGAATAATTTGAATGGAATGTGCGTAATATTCACGCCATCGACTTTTTTTTGCACGCGTTCAACAGCTAATAAATAATAATAAAAAAAGATATACGAGTTATGGATGAAGAATGACCTATTTTATTCATCATAATGTTTTGAATATTTTGCCGTGAATGTTTTACAATTGTAATGACATTTTTTTACATTTACTAATTTTATGTATTTTTCTTGTTTCAGGTAAGTTGAATTAATCAAAGAGTCACCGAACAATGAATCGTTATGAGTGAGTAATATGGCATTTAAATTTAGTGATTTAAATTATGTAGAGGTTTAGACGTTTTCAATTTTGGAAAGTTAATACTGGTATTTATGAGCAGTTTAAATATTTTAATCGTTTATAATAAAATGATCCGTTTTGGCAAGTGGGACTAAACTAATCGATGAAAGTGCAAGCTTTTTAATAGCTTAATTTTGTTCTTAAAATTTTACGGCGCGTTGTGTTTCAACTTGGCGAAGAGTAAAATAAATCACAGCTGGACGCAATGTTAGAATCAGTAAAAAGTTATAAAAACACTCAATTTCAAGCGGCGATTGCACTCAAGCGGCGCTCAAATGTACAAAACGACAGTTATAAAAATAAACGACTAGATTAGTGTGTGATGAGCCAGTGATGACTGAGCTTGTGACGGATCTGATGGATATGTTACAGTGATTTTCCGACTACGAACCAAAATAGTCGCCGGTAATTTAGTATTTAAGATGTTGTCCTAACGTTCGAAGACGTTAATTCACAACGTCGTAGTTTATTTTTATGAATGCGCAATTTTGAAAGCTGAATGCAGCGCCAAAACAACGATCGCAATTTGGTGCGCCGACCGAATTAAAATTCCGCGGGCCTGCGGCACACCGCCGGAGCCGGTCCGCGTAAACAGAGCCGTCACTCCGGCTGTCACTTAGCGGCGAAGATGGCAGATGAGCGACACTGACAGAGTTGATGGCACGTCGCCTCGCGCTGCCATCTCCAAAGGGACTACGAGACTTCATAAAACCTATCGCCTCTCAATGTCAACCTTGTTTTTCAAATGCACCTTATTTCTGCGGGTTGTTTCTGGCTGGCGTGTCTCGCAACGACAGTTAAAACGCGAATGGGCTGAAAGGTGCACGTTGGTGCGTGCTTCTTTATCGCAATAAATGCCGGCGCGCATTTCTTATCAAAGCGATACGTTAGGCGCGCGAGCGGCAAACGAGGAAATTAGTCATTTCAACATTCGCATTAAAACTCGTAATTCACGAGTCAAATCGCCTCAAAATGCATATGCGGCTCGCATAAACTACACGCCGAGTGACTTTCATGCTAAACTCAAAAGGACACTCATTCAATCGTCGACGACTTTTGCGCAAGCTTTAACTTTTGCTTGCGCTGCAGCGAGAAGTTAAGACCTTTCGGAAAAACGCTTGAATAATAATCCTCTTCGTCCGTTCGTCTTCAAGACATAAACGAAGGCCGTACATGTGAAAATGTTTTGAATGTTTCAAATCTGCTCACAAATGAACTGTAATCTACGACCCGAACACAACGGACGAGACGACCACGAAGACGCCGCCAGTTTCCTAACGCGAGGCAGGCGGAATTTATTATTTATAGATTTGTTTATCCGCGACAACTTTCATATTCTTTATCATAATGTCATTAATATGTCACGGATATACTGCTGATTTCTCGAAAAACGACAAGACAAATGTTGATGTTTCCCTATTCCTAGAGACTATAATTCACAAACCCACGCAACACAACTCAAAGACGAACTGAAATCTGATGAACTTTTTAAGAAGAGTTTCTCAAGCTCAAAGAAGACAAAATAAACCAAAAGTAGTTTGTGGCGCCCCCTCTTTGATATTAAAAATAGTTTGTGTTGACAATGATATCCAAACTGACTGATCCGACGAAAGCAGATCATAATAGAATGAGGAATCAAGGAATCGCTCGCCTATCTTGGGTGCGCATTGCTAGTCAAGTCACCAGTGCGCTGGTCCAAGCAGATAGACGGATCGCCGATGAGACACGAACACCTGTCATTCGGCTATTGTAAGGCGTCAAAGCGAGACGATGAAACCGACGCCAGCACACGCACACCAACTCACACGCTTTGGCATATCGTGTTGTCAACTCAACTCGCTCGAGACGCCTTGAGCGCCATGCAGCGCGATGTGTTTGCCTGTTGGGGGGAGGAATGCGCGCGGGCATAATAGACTCGCCAATGCCCCGGGTGCCTTGGGCTTGTCCAACGTTGATAGATTGATTAATTCCGATTCAATAATCTACAGGCCAAACGAGACAACAATTCAAATCGATGGTGGACACAACACACCGAACGCGGCGCCGTTCTGGCTATACGAAAACCATTACGTACGTTTGAAGTGACAAATCGGCTAAAATTAAATTGCGCACACAAGGGATTATGCAATAATGAGTGCATATGATATAAATCAATGAATACGCTCATTAGTTGCCTATGTTTTCGTTAAGGCTTTGATCATCAAGATTCTAGAGTATTTACTGACATGTGTCTTGATGATAAGAGAAAAAGACATACCATGCCTTTTTTGTTAATTAATACCTTAAAATAATAAAAGTTAATTGGGCGCTCGTAATTTTTAATGTGACATCAAAGGCAACCGCTATCGTTTACGGGTCGGGGTCGGCTTTAGAATGGTTAAATTCGTAATTTTCCTCATTTTTCGTCGTTCCGTTTTCCTTTCCAATAGCTTACAGACAGTGTGAATAAAACACTGTTAAATATGCAAATATAAATTGAATTTTGTTTTTTTACTGACAAAATTTGTTGATTTAGGCAATAAAAAAATATCAAACTAATCTGGACTTGGCGCCATTGAGAATTGTGGTTGTTTAATATATAAGAGGTCATAATTAGTTTTACGGAAACACACTGTGCCGGCTTTTCGTGAAGGATGCACACGGCTGTATCGTCGAGCATCGCAGCATCGTTATGGCCGTACAAAAGCACTTTACGGACCGAAAACGAGGCACTTTATGCGCATCTATATGTCACATTGAATTTAGTTTATTGTTGACAGATGCAAATGTAATCATAGTTATACACCCGTTTGGTTCGTCTCGCGCCCCGCGCGTCATCCGACCGCCATGGGCAGCGACGAGGCGTGATGAGAAAGACGGCGCAAAATTCGTCCGAGATGAGAAAACCGAAGATGCACTGCCACACTCTTTTAAAAACGGAGCGGCGGCATCCGCAAGATTAACACAGCATTTCATTTTATTCATCGTCGTCGTTTTTTTTTGCTTATTTCGGTTTTATCACATTTCTGAAAGACCGAAATTATTTCTACCTATTAGCGTTCGCCCCGCACAGGATGAATTTTAAATGAAGAAAAGGCCGCGACCGCGACGCATAACTGTCACCTGTAGAAATGATGCGGTCGTAAATTTCGATAAAACATTAACAATCGTATGAAAGGTTTTTTCATCAATGCGCGATACGGACATGGACGCACTGTATTCGTCTAACCTTCTGCATTCATGGATAACCTAACCGCGCGGTGCGGGTCAACGCCGTACACGATCATAAATCGTCACCCATGGACATCCCATGGACCACGATGTTTTTTTGTCTTTTATTTTAGTCGGGTGACGTTCAGAGACACCATATAGATAGGTATGGGTGTAGGTACTCACCGGTTGAAGCAAGTCGTCGTCATCGTGGTCGTCTGGATGCCGAGATTGATTTCAATGTATAACGAACGCCATTAATACCGTCGCGCGTACATCATAAAATCGTATAAGCTGACAACTGTGACACACCACGGGATGTTTTATGAACGTTTACAGTCGACTTTAAACACTATTTATATACAACTTAGGTGCACACCGGTGTACACTCAACTTGGCTTACAAGACGCCGTTCGATGCAAGATTTTTATGTGAATTTTACTGGAGTGCACGCGCAATGAATAAAATTGTTGCAGCAGGATCAAGTGGCGTGCGTACGCGCCGAGCGGGCTCACGCGTCAGGTGCGCGCGCATTATGACCGCGCATGCATTTCGCGGACACTTCCGTCAAATTTAAAAAAAATAGCGAAAACTATTTGTCTAATCCCTCACATGGGGGCGCCAAGTGTTCTAAGACGTTAATTAAAATGTTTTTGTGAATGTAATAAACATACGTTACTTTCTTATTTGATTAAATTTCAGTGTAATTTGATATTTTACAACAAAGTAATGCGTGATTAGCACGTGCATTTTTTTATGGTAAGCTTCTTTTGCTTCATGGCTGCTCGTCAAATTCGAAGTCGTTCCGAGTCGCGTCGTTCGCGTGTCAGATTAGTGACACGTCGGCCGCCCGCGAACTGCTCGTCATATTACATACTTTTGTACCTGAGTCTTCACGTCGCTCTTGAAGATGCTTTTTATAGCTTGTGAATGTCAGCCGTCTGCTTAGTTTGCATTACTTTGAAGATACGCATGCGAAAGTTTGATTGGTGATGGTCATCCGACTCCACGGCAATTTTATTTGTTTCATGTTATTATCTTTTGTATTATTTGTAGTTCTTGTTGTCAATCAACGTCCGATTATATCGTTGTAACTTTGTTTGCTTTTATCGTTTTAACCTTGAGAAATACATAAAATTTATTAAGTTTGTGTTGAAAAGTTTTCATTTCTTGAACATCCGATTCTCTTCGAGCAATCTTCAAGAAAGGACGTAATCTAGTGCAGTTTGCCGACAGTAGACGAAATGAAACTCTACTCGTAAAGAAAGTGCAGTTTGTTTCGTATTTTTATTATACTACGCGTTTCTTTATAACCAAAGAGTCGAAATTTGAATTTGCAGTTGGAAACTTTGCCTCGCTAAATCGATCCAAGTGGAAAAGTTTCCTGATCAAGAAATATTGACGAAGATTTAAAAATTTTCTCACTGTGCACTTACGGAACAAAATATTGATTCAGCTCGTCGATATGCCAAAACGTAGCTTTGGATACATGTAGACATGTACTTATGTAAGATTTGACGGTGTATGGGGGAATCCCTGACCTAGCAGATTCCTTCATGCATACGAGCTGAGGACGAACGACAGTGGCAATGCCGCAGCCGCGCGCAGAGTTTATTGTAATTGGAGTTAGTTAGCTCCGGCGTGGCGTTTGGTACACATTGTCACCAAATTAACAGACAGGTGTCTGGGATTCCTCGTCGGAGCCCCTCTCTCGCTCGCTCGTCTCTGATTATCCTAGTTTTACGATCGCTCTAAGTCTCTGCAGACACGTAATTAGACATAGGTTTGTCGTGATTGTCTCCACGTCATTCAAGTTTTGCGCGCCGCCGCCGCCACCGGTTTTGATGGAAAGCCAACTCGTTGCGTTTGCAATGTGTCACATTCGTCAAGAATATAATTTTGCATTAATAGCATGATACGTACTTTATATGTTAGACATTTAGGCTAAGAACGCAACAATAAAAAAAATCGTTTAGCAAATGTCAAGGAATAAATCGAGAAAGAATAGAAAAGCAAAGCAAGTAAAAACGATCCCGAGATGACACGGACAGCGTTTATTTTTCAATTCATCATTCGGACGCGAAACAACTTCAAAGAATGTCCAGAAAGAATGCTCTCCATTTAAATAGAGTTAATCAATGTCAGCCCAGACAGTCTTAGACACAATACTAGTTTAAATTAAAAAAAAAGTAAATAACCAACTTTCGGGTGGCAAAATCTGGCGCATTATGTAAATACACCCACACAGTGAGCAGGGCGCTTTTCCGTGGAAAGTGTGAAGGCGAATGAATGCCGTCGATCGCGTCGAGAAAACCTATAACCTATAAAACCAACACTGAGGGGAATTGAGGACCGAAACGGGGTGCGCGCCGGCGTTCGCAGTTGATAGTTTTCTGAATATTCGGGCAGGCAATTCCCACGTGCGAACATTACCTGAAGTCGTAAAAAATCCGCACACCGCCGCCTCCACAACCGATAGCAGGTGATATGTATGCCGGTCGAATACGTACGTTCCTGAAATACAATCGGCCATCCAAGTTCGCATCTTTGGAACACGCAAAGAAGAAAGCCGGTATGAAAAAATACGAACGAAGGCCTCCGCACACTTTACGAGCGTTACGCCGATGGATAGCATAGCAGAAAACAATAAGTCGAGTTTAATGTATAGTAAATGAGTGTTTTCTTCCACCTTCTAAGGCTATGAATACGAACGTATCGCGTGCGCTTTTGTGCGGTCTTCAAATTTTAATCGCCTGACCTGCGTGCTTGACGTTTTGCACGCATCTAACACTGTAAATTGATACGTAAATCTAACAATGATTTACGTTACTTATTACAAAGGTGTCGCTATCGGAAGTAGTCGGGTAGGCGATCATGTTTCTTACCTGCACTCCTCGTAATCGTTTTCGGTGCGCATGCAAATGCATTTCTTTGTGTTTGCGTTGATCCCGGTGTTTGTGTATGCAATGTTTGTCGTGTGGTTGTTGGCTTCTGTGTGAAAGCGCGCTGTGTATGTGCCGTACCCGTGTAAAACGGGTGTACATGAGAGAGCATCAGCAAGCTCGCAGCCAACAGGTTTCTCTTGCTCGACGCGGCCGCCGAGGTAAATATAACACACACGCCGAAAGCTCGCGCGGTGCGGCGCATCGCCGACGTCACCGCCGTCGACGTACGCCGTTTCGACGCACACAAGTGGCTTTTACAATAACAACCATTAAACGACATCATGTTATACGCTTAGGATACTTAGGAAGACACTCGACGCCGACGCCCCGGATGCTGCAAATAAGGCGACCAAAAAGTATTAAACCGGAAGTTAAGATGATAAAAATATATTTAGAATAATTCAAGATTAAATAAATTTTCTTGTGGAACAAGTTTTCGTATAACATTTGTACTTTATAGAAGTTTGCAAAAATATCTTCATATTTTAGTTCGGATGCGTGAAAACTGACAATTTTATCAAAACAAATTTTTAAAAAACAAATTTTGAGAATTGAATCTTAATTTTTTGTTTACGAAAATTTTTAAAAATACAATTTGTAATGTAATATTAGCGCACAGATATTAAGTTGGTATTATTTACTGAGATGATTCTTAAACAACCTGTATACCAAGAGTGCGCTTGATAGTTTGGGGACAATAAAATTGATAAAATACTTCCAGACATTAGTGTCATCTTAAAGAATGAAATAGCGCGTCGGTCGCGAGCTTGGGCAGCATGCAGCCGTCTTTATTATTTCGAGATGAAGGAGGCCAGCGTCTTCGCTCGTTCGTTTCCTCGCATGGTTTGGTGCATCTCCTGCCTTGCAGGGAGTTGGTGTAAGTCGGATGCACACCGCTGCGATGCACGTCCGAGGACGAAACTTAGTATATGTGGTAATTTCGTCTGCAGATATTGTCTCGTCTCTCGTCTTGTGTCATTTCGCTTGCACATCGACCCTTGTCGCGTACGTCCAGTCATCGAAACATCCTTTTTGTTTCGGTCATTTCTTCTCTTTGTGTAAATTTCTATACGGACGCGAACGAAAATATAAATCTCGATTATTGCCGGATACTTCCGGCTTGTTTATCGTCAACTGGTAGATAATTCCGCTGCGTCTAGCCAGCAAGCTGTTTGTGTATGTCTGGACGAGTTATCGACGTGGAGAGGACATTCACGAGTCACGTCGTGCCCAGCGCCGCCACCAGACTTTCATAATGATACGAAGCGATTGTAGGCACCTTTCGTATGCTGTGGGATAAGTTTGCGACTTATGTGTTTGGGAAGATGTTGGGAGGAAGTCAATCTGGCCGGGATGCGCTTTATGGGTCGCAGGACAACGCGACGCGACTTAGCTCAACTCGGGAAGACAACGTCGCGCGCGGATGACGACTTAATATAATTCGTAGTTAGCCAAGGAAGGCAAAAGGGATGGGGGCGCACGACGCGACCGGCGTTGAACAAGACGTTTGCCGCTGACAGTTTATCACACTGGGCTGCGAAGCGTACACGCGCTGACTATCATACACTCAGAGATGCGCCGCAGAAACAGACATAAACACGCCTGATGTATTCATAGAGTCTTTCGAAATAGTAGAGAATTAAACCGGTCGCGGATATAAGATTGCCCCGAAACACCCCGTATTAATCGTCAACATGTACACAAATACAAAGTGACATGTACGAAAGGAGACACGTACATAGAGGCTCATAACTAAACAATCTGCAAGAGACAGAGCAGCTACTAAGAATTATAATGGGGTAGCGGCGGTGGCACAAGTTGGTCCAGGGGGTCGGGCCAGACCGCCAGGTGGAGTGAGATGGACTTAACGTCTTCTCGGTGTTCGCAGCGGACGTAAAGACGCCTTGGACGCCCGCACGCCGCGAGTTTAGTCATCCTGTGAATATGTATATCGCATCGTGTTAGCCCAGAGTACGCTGGGATGTGTGCAGGCCCCAACGACAACGATCCAATGGCTGCCGTCTGCAACCTGTCCACATAAATCTGTCAACGAGGGAGACGCGCTGGGCGCTAAAAGCAAACCCGTGTGATGGCTGAACTTAAAGGTTTCAGATCTATCTCTCCTCCACGCTATTTATATACGACGCGCACTTCTGGTATACATTCGTGTGTGTGTTGTGTATGTATATGACTGTGTGAGCCGTGAATTCGTAAGCTTTGAAACAGACCTACTAGTCAAGAGACTCTTTAAGATGTATCAAGATGCGTTGATCGTTCTTTACTTGTTTCTCTTCGCTGGGTGTGATGCGTGCGCGCCTTCTCCGACACATGAAACGCACGTGACGACAGCATCTCGCGACTGGGGAAACTTGTGGCAGGCGAGCACTTGTTTGACATCATTTAAAATGCTTCATTTAAATTAAACGCGCTATTACGAGCAAGAAAAACGCTTCAACACTTTTTGTGCATGATATTTTTTATGTGCGCTCTGCACAATACTCGAGGTAAATTGC